CGTATACAGCGTCTCTACGTCACTCCTCCACAGTCCAAATATGGTTCGTTGGATGCTAAAAAAACAACATGGCGACGGTCGTAATCCCAGATGACTGAGTCCACGCAGCACGATTGGAATAAACCACCACGTAACCCAGAGTGACAGAAAAATACTGTAGGAAGCTTTAAGGACATTCGTCCACCATGTAAGTGTCCTCAGAGGGAGTCCCCTCTGCATCATGTGAGGGACTGTTTTCCTCGTCCACCGCACCAGGAAGTGTCTTTGATGTCTGATTGGTGGGTTTGGTCTTAAGTGACTCAGCTAATTGGTGGTTGGAAGGGAGAAGGTTCAGGGTGTGGTTCCATCATTCCATTTGCTCCTGATGAGTGGATGCCTTGTTTATCCTGTGTGTGTGTGTGTGTGTGTGTGTGTGTGTGAAGCCCTGGAGTTTTAACTTTATTTAACCCCAAAAATGGTTAACGTGGTACTTCTCTCAAACCGAAACTAAATGCGTCAATCAGCTGATTCTTGTTAAGAGCAACTCACTAAAGCTCTTCCCTGAGCTGAGCTCAGTCCCAGCAGATTAAGCAGGGCTGCTGCAGCTCATACACACTTCTGCATCTTCCTTTCCAACTAAACTCTGGCTAAGGTTGTAGAGCAACAACCTCACATCCACTGTTGTACATGGAGTTAAGGGGCTTACCTCCATGTAGATTACCAACAATGTTTCTTTCTTACTACAGTATGAACGCAAAACAAAGAGGTTCTGCTGTGGTTTCATTGTTAGATACAGATCAATAGGTTGGTAAAATAAAAACTACATCATGTCATTTGTAACAAGTCTGACTTCATTAGTAAAGTTGAGAATTACTTTCTGGATAAATGAAAGAATGCATGTATGAGTATGTGAGTGAGTTACTTTCTGGATCAGTAAGGAGACTTGAGTCTAGAAAACATCCAGTTTTGGACACAGTACTCTAAATCAGGATGAGCATGGATGTGTTTCTAATTCAAGTTTGAAAAAAAATTTGTTTGTCTCACACAGACGCAGACGCAGCAAGACAGACGCGCACAAACACACAGTTATTAGCTCCATGCTCCACTAGCTCCAGAGTGCTGTTAGTCTTCCATGCTGCTCCCGGCTACACAGCCCAGCGTTTGAACCCCTCGGGGGAGGAGAGACTCTCACAGGGCTCTCCCCTGGAGCCCATCAAAGAGCCTACACACAGTTTGTTTGCCTGAAATTCAAATCCCACAATGCCACAGCAGGAGCTCCATGCCATCATGATCTGAAATAACACAATGTGTCAAATGATTGTCTTTGTGAGTGATAACAGAAAGCCTAATGCTGTTCACTTTGAGAGACGGCTGCTGTTTGAGCTTGAGACACTATTTTGGACCTCTAATCTGATTATTATAATTTCTTAGGGAATGTAGGGAACAAATCTTTTACAATTTTGTGCCCGGAATACCGTATGAAAGTTCCTAACTTATCTCTGATGGTTCGAAAGAATCAGACAACATGAGATTACTTCCAACCTTGTTTTAAGCCACGCTAGCAGCAAGGATACGGATGTTGGCCTGTTGGTCCACCTCCAGTCCAGAAATAAAACCGTATTTCAGCAAATATTGGATGGATTGACATAAGAGGATGTGATGAGCCCCTGACCTTTCATCTAGTGCCATCATTAGGTCAAAAATTCAACTTGTCCAATACAAGCAGTTGGCTCAAAGCACTGCTATGCCTGAAGGCAGCTTCACAGAGCTGTTGGCATGGCTGTACTCTTGGTCTAAATTCTAAATATATTCAGCAGCTTCAGGGATGTACAGATAATTAACAAAATACAAAGTATTTCAACAAACTATACAGTAACGTTTTGAACGTCTCCTATCTAAGTAACATTTGATACTCCAATCTAATTGAATCCCACATCTCACACAGCGTAGACTTCTCAGAATGCTGTCGTCTCAAATGTCTGTGAGCTCTTGTGGTTGCCTCCCTCACCAGGTGACCGGCAGACTGCTGTGTGTGTGTGGGCAGTACGTTTGAGTTTGTTTTTATGTGTGTGTGTGTGTGTGTGTGTGTGTGTGTGTGTTAGTGTGACTTCCCAGTGCAGCCTTTGAAGCTGTTCCATTTGGCCCTTGGCCCCATCTGTAGACAGTGTGTAAAACATGCTGTGGTACTGATAACTCCTGGGTCACACTGGGTTCAGTGTAACAATGTCTCTTGTTTCCCCTCTCTGCCTCTCTCCGTCTTCAGGCTCGAAATGATGCATTTTCACACAGCTGAAGGATTACGAAATGTGTATGATGATAAAAATAAATTGATAAAAAACTAAGAAACTGTATGCAAGTGTGCAACTGTAGCATGTAAACACTGTAAAACGATTACAATGTGAATTCTTTGATGTGAACTATTGTAGTTGCAGTTTAGTTGAAGCACTGAGATGTAAGCACTGAAAGGACTTGAAGAGTCAGAGCTGAAAACAGGTGGTAGCATTAATACGTTTGGTTCAAATTCTGTAGGCAGTGGAGTTGTTCATTTCCATGTTTGCACTGAAAGTAGTTGAACTAACAGTTGAAGGTTAAAGCAAAGAGCTGGAAGCAGCTGAAAAGTCGGTCGATAACTTTGCCAGATAGTAAGTACCGAAAGTAGTTGAAGTGTGAGAGATGAAAGCAGTTCATGTGGAGAGCTAGAGACAAAAGTTAAACTGTCAGTTGATCTGTTAACAATTAAAGTAATTGAATAGTTGAAGTGTGTGTACTGTAAACAGTGGACGTGTCAATCAGTATACAAGCAGATACAGCAGTTGAAAAGGCAACTGAAGTGGTTGAAGTGTAAGCTGTACAATTATTTCACTTCACTTTACCAATCATGAAATGTGACCCTTGAAATGCAAACAGCCCATTCAACAGCTGGAGACCCAGGCCGTATTGCTGGGCCCGCTGGAGAGAAGGGAGGCACGGGAGAACCAGAACCAGTCCTGAGCGGGGCAGACTGTGAGAACCTGCTGCAGTAAATCAAGAGGTTTTCTAAAGGGACTCTGGTGTTTTCTCTGGTGAAACGCTGCCGCTTTTGTCCACGGGACCGCCCAAATGAACACAAAATTTTAATTCCTAGTACTGTTAATGTTAAAAGTGAATGTAAAATGGTAGCTTACATCAACTGTTAAATGTTTGACTTTTACTTTGGTAATTTGCCGAATAACTCAACAAAACAATCGTCCTTTATTACAATACGGATGCAAATATGCTCTTCTTATTCATTTGCTTCTAAAAGCAACCGGTAATAGAGGAGGATGAATTTAGTTGTTGCTGATGAAAATGTAAAAAAGAATAAATGTTGTGACCCTACAGAACCTGATCATGTCTACTTGTGTTGTTTTGGAGCCGGTTATGATCACGGTGTGTGATCTAAACATACAAATGGAATAGGTGTTTCTACTGACATGAGAAGGACTAGATATCTAAATATCATTTGACAAAGAGAGGAGCTACCACCATGGAAAACACATCAGTCCAACCGTGGCGAGCATCCAGGAGTCTGACCTGTTGTTGAAGTTGGTGCAGTAGGTGAGGTCCTTGCAGCCCAGCTGACAGGGCTCTCTGACGTCGGCCAGGCAGTTAATGAGCTCCGTCTCCACTGGGTTGTACTCACAGAGCTGGTCAAAGTCCTGCCATGTCTGGCTGCCCCAGTTGGTGCTGATCTCCTGGCACATGTCCCTGTCAGAGCGGAGCACACAGACACACTTCACCTCAACTTTTGTGCTCCGGACAGCGACGCAGCAGCTTCCGCTAAGCGGCGCGCCGTACCTGCAGAGGGAGGTGTTCGCCTTGGAGCAGCAGTGCAGCTTGGCGCAGTCCATCTTGGCGGGGTGGGGGGTCTCCTCTTCGGGCGGGGAGGGAGGGTGGGCGCTGCCCAGAAAGCACTGCCACATGGGCTCCTGAGGGAGGGGCTGGGAGCCGCACTCATTGATCAGACCCTCCATGATCTCGTGCTCTGTGCTCATGGTGCGAAGGATCCGCCGGCACGCTACCTGACAGTGGGTGGCCTCCGCCCGGTCACAGCAGTACAGACCTGGATGAGAGGTACGGGTGGATTAATGAGTGCTGGGATATGTACTCTTTCATGATATTTATGGTTCCCACCATAGAAAATAACACACACATTATTTTATAGACACAAAGATGACTACGTCACATATAGGTCCACACCCAGTCGTGAAAGTGGGCCGGTACGGTCTGGTACGGTCAACGGTTCAATCCCCAACTGGGACGTGTCACATGTCGAAGTGTACCTGAGCAATACACTGAACCCCTGGGCGCCTGTCATTGGCAGCCCACTGCTCCCTATATACAGGGTCAAATGCAGAGACAAATTTCCCCCTTAAAGGGATCAATATAGTATAATAAATTAAAAATTTACGCATTGAGCTGCATGCCTAAACCCACCAACAACAACCAGTCATGATCGCATTTCAACAAGAAAACATCTTTCACTCATCTGCCAACGTTACAGCAACATAAGGTTAGTTACCTCCGCCCAAAGAGGTTGTTTGTACACGCATTTTTCTTCTCACTTTTATTGACATTGGGAGATAGGACATTTGTGCTGCATTCGTATAGTTTTGGAATAATCCGAAAAAATGAGTTCCCGACCAGGAGAATTCTCCTCTTCTCAGTAACGTCTATGTTGTTTGATTATTACAACTTTAAGCTCATTAACACACCGAAGTTGGCAGAACTGTGGAAATAGGTGCATTCAGGTGCTCCTCGGATGGTCCCATCTGTCGCTGCCTCTCCAAAACTGTTCCGTTAGTCTGCTGCTGGCAAACGTCAACTTCTGCTGCAGCTGACTGTCTGACGTCGAGTGCTGTGGGTTTTGGGCAGACAGTCGTTTCTTGCAAAAAACCTCCCGAGTAAAGCGACAAAATAAGCTGTGCTGTTTCATGATGTTCAGTTTTATTCCAACAAAACGGACAGCAGGTCAAACAAGCTACGAGACTTCTGTAACTCTGCTGACACAACGGTCCTAAACACACACAGTGCTCATCAACAGCTTATGAGCCATTCATTTAGTTGTAATTTTCTTCCGATTAAAATACAACAAATTGATTTTGTCAACATTCACAAATCATTCTGTGGCACTTTCACCATGTATACAGAAAGTGTTTCTAATTTAAAAAATGACTGTGTGTTTAGAGATGCATGAAGCTGGGGTTGGGAAAAGAACAGAATTAAGAGACGAAAGATGAAGAGATAAAAGTTGGGGTAGTAGTACCGGCAAAACACCACACCCAGAACAACAGGGACTAATGAATCCAGTGCTCCTGTAATAAAGCAGCACTGGAGTGTCGGCTGGATGCGTGCATTGCGAAGCGTGAACGGACTCACTGTCGATGGGGCTGCGTATGGGGTAGGACTTGGTGAAGTTGCTGACGCAGCTGAGCAGCTGGGGGCTGTGGCTCTGACAGTACTCTTTGACGGCGTTGATCTGGGACACGGTGGGGGTGGAGTCGGTCCTGAAGATGGCCTGGCAGTACTCCCTGCAGGTGGTGTGGCGCCCTGCATAGCTGCAGCAGTTGGAGCCCACTGAGGGAAAACACACAGACACAGACACACACACACACACACACACTCACGGTGACAAACTTAAATACACATGTGGGCTCAGGATGAGTATTTAAGAAAAAAACAAAAACACTGTAAAAGACTACACTCTTATTTTCTGTAACCAGCGTAGCATTAAAGCATGGTAGCATTAGCAAGCTACCTCTCTAGCTAGCATACAGCAGGCCAATTAGCTAGCTAGCATGCTAATTCCACCACGCTTTAATGCTTTGTCTGTTCTTTTAAGTAAAGCTTAGCAAAAGTTAAATCAGGAAGACTCTCTTTACACTCCGGGGGGGGTATTCCTGATCAATCACTACCCCCTTCTAATATACTAGGTCACGATGGAGTCTAATTGCCAAAGACTCTTCACTTTTCATCTCATTATGCATGTGTAGTAAATGATTCACTCTTGAACTGACTTTTGGTCCTTAGCATTGTTTCATTGACTCTAACTGGATACTTGTGGTCAACTTCAGAGCTCTAAACCTCCTCAGATTTGATTATTCTCACTAAAGCTGACATTAACAAACAAAAAAAACCCATTAGACCTTTCAACAGGAAGTTAGTGACCTCACATCCTGCCAGGCAAATAACATGGCACGGCTGTGTGTGCATGTTGTGTATGTGTGTGTGTGTGTGTGTGTGTGTGTGTGTGTGTGTGTGTGTGTGT